TAACGCCTTTCCATACCCCCTCGGTGTTGCGCAGTTCTCCCACAAGGGCAGAGGAGCATGTCCATGGACAACAGCGACTCCAACCCGGGCTTTGCTCCGGTTGCCCTCAGCACTGACAGCGCATCTGTTCTTCACTGCCACTTTAACACATCACAGCAGTTTGCAATTCATACGTTTTCACCCATTCCCAGGGAAAGTGAAGCCTTTGTCTAACTGCAAAATGTATGCCTTGCTTAAAAATCCACAGTAATTACAGCACTAATTGGAGACACTCATTTTTTGAATGCTCACTGAAATCATAGAATGGTTTAGGTTGGAAAGGACCTTGAAGATCATCGAGTTCCAACCCCCCTGCCATGGGCAGGGACACCTCCCACTAGACCAGGTTGCCCAAGGCCACGTCCAGCCTGGCCTTGAACACCTCCAGGGATGGGGCCTCAGCAACCTCTCTGGGCAACCTGTGCCAGTGCCTCACCACCCTTAAAGTGAAAAACTTGTTCCTAATGTTTAATCTAAACCTGCCCTCTTCCAGTTTATAGCCATTCCCCCTCGTCCTATTGCTACGTGCCCTAGTAAAAAGTCCTTCCCCAACTTCTTATCCTTCAGGATAGCTACACCGCCTCCAAGACAAGCTAGCTAGTGTTCAGTTGTCCAGCTTTTATTTTCCACTTAAGGACATCTCCTTGCTTCCCTTCCCTCTCTAGCTTAATCTTTCATGAGAAATGGTGCCAGCTCCAGCTATGAAGGCTTCCCTAGCACAAGAATCAAAGGCAGAAGTCAAATGCTTTGTGGTTTCCCACCTTTCCAGTACTGACTGGGCAACACTTTCTGGGCAACGCAAACACTGACGACCAACTTGATTGCTTTTGTAAACTGCCAGGTCCAGTCCATGCTGCTACTAATGTAAAAAAAAAAAAAAAATTTAATTTGTAAGTGAAGTTTGGTGTCTACATACACTGAAAATAAAGATAATTGTTGAAAGACAGTGTACAAGGCAAAAAAAAAATAAAAAAAAAAATCACATTTTCTTATGAGTACCCTACAGCACTCAACGTATGCTGCTACACAAAACAACATATTCAAACATATTTCAGAGCCTGTTCCTGATAATCCAGGAGGTGTAAGTACTAGAGCACTCCATATTCAGCAAAAGGCTGCAAAAATTATCTTAGATAGATTTCATTGGTATTACTAAAGCTCAAGGTTATGTCATTTACACTAACTCTACAGCTGTCATTCATTCCGTTTTGAAATACACTGAATACACCCATGAATCTAAAGAGATACAAACCCCAAAAGAATCCAGGGGTATTTGTGGCTTTTTTCCCCCCCAAGTATTGATTAGGATTTATTTATTTAAACTGAAAAATCCTCCACATGGTTTCCAAACTTGTGACATTTGTTAGGAAATAGATGTAGAAGCCGAGGGATGCTAAGGAAGCTCTTCGAACAGTGAGTCACCAATTTACGTGCTGTACTCTGTACAGCAAGCAACGCACTCAAAGAAGTAAGCCTGTTAGAAACTATTAAATATAGACAGTAATTATGTGAAAATCATGTGGTCATAGCTGACTTCAACAAGGATCTGTTAAAAATCTTCTAGAGAAAAAGGAACGGGTGTTGCTTTATCAGATAAATCTGGTAGAGCCATGTTTTTCCTGAACGCTCCTGTTTGGCACAAAGTACGGGAAATAGCAAGGACTGACTTTCAGTCCATAAAATCAGAAAAGAGCAGCAGATTTGGGGAGCATCTTTAGTGTGCAAGACGGAAACACTTCAAATCACGTTTCATAATTACTTCACATGCCTTTCTACAAAATAAGGGCGATACAAGTGGCACCAGCAGATATTAAATAGTGTTTCTAAACATGAACTACAGAAGAACAGTTTGTGTAACCTAAATCTTCTGGTGTGCCTTCAAAAAATGCAAGTTTCATGACTCCATGATGAACATTCCTCTCTAAAGGGAAATTACCCTCAAGAATGCAGCTACTGTTGAGTTGTATACATTTTCTGCACATATCGCCTTTTACCAATGTCCAGAGAAAGGCATAGTTACTAAAACACAACCTATTGTAGCCAAGATGCTTAACCCTCTTACCTGCACAGCCAGAAGGCTCTCAGCTCTCGCGTATTCGTGGCAGCGCTTAAGCTAAGGTTGAGTTTATACACTTTACAAGTGGTTTTTTTTCTTTTTTTTTCCCCAAGTGGAGGCTGTTGCTCAATTTTGTATATTTGACCTTATCAACAGGGCTATACCGACATCGGACATCGTCTTGCAGTATAGAGCCAAACAAGTTACAGGTTGTTAGGGAAACCATTCATCAGTAGGTAGGTTCATGCAAAATTCAAAAGGGCTTCCCCCACCCCCACCCCCCTTGTGTTTTTGGAGACCAGTCCGAGAAATCCAAGTGATGTCTTTCTTACAGGAATACTTCAGATAGCTAAACAGAAGCAAGATTTGGCATTTAGCCTGGGATTAGTGTGAACAGCCTCTTAACCAAACATTATGAAGAAAGTTAACTTTATAATGCTTTGAAAGGTCTGTTTTCATGACAGATGGTAATAAGGGCTCATCAGTGCCAATTTTTTTTTGTTTCCACCTCAGTTTTCAAAAGCCCAAGTTTTAGGTTAGTGCTTCTGAGAAACCATTACATGCACAGAGGAAAAATGCAAATTACAAAATTAGATTACTCACTATTTTTATTGTGTGCAACATATTTTTCTAAATAACACTAACATATGAAGGGTAAAAATTTGACCGTGCGCTTCATAGACCACTTTCCCTTTCTGCTTATTAGAATCCCTCTTTTTTTTTTCCCAGCTAGTTCTCCTTTAATCTTTATCTGTACACCTGGGCAGTTATTCCTCTCCCCACACACCCCAAAAGATACAGCAGTCGGTAGCAGGTAGAGGTTTTGTTTGTATAATACACTCACCAGGGAAGACGTGGTAGAACTATATTTTATTCAAGAAAACCCACACATTCTGTCCTGTGGTGACCACAGGCTTTGCTAAGCCATAGATATCAGCAAATACTGGAACAAAATACAGTGTATCAGATTGAATCAAAGCATTGAAATTCTGAATTACAGTTATCACTTTCAGGGAAGGCTAGTTTCAGAATCGCATCATAGTATCTAGTACAATGTTGTGCAATGTAACCGGCAGAAACAAAAATGGAATATTGGTCCTAATAAAAACCGAACTGTAATGACTTTTGTATGACATTTTAACTGTCAAGACAACAATTCATAACATTCTACCAAAGGCAGCATATAGTTACAAAAATACTGGTCCAGCATCTTGTTAGTGGTGAAGCAATATCCAAGGTGCAATGGCAATGTGCCATTCTTAGTGAAATATTTTTTAAAAAACTATTTTTTTCTATTTTCCCCACACTGATACTAGCTGAACACCAAAACTGCTATGACAACCTGGAAGAAAGTCACTTTCATGTGTATTGCACCAAAGATTTATGCAAAAACACATTTTTCCAAGCTGCAGTATAAAAGAAGCAAAACCTAATAAAACTATGAATGTGTCAAAAGACATTTTACTGCAACTGATCTTGGACGAGCAGGTTGCAACATCTATTGAGTTTTAAACAATTGTCCAAGCTTGTCCATTCTACCTGTTATCTTCAATTCAATGATACAGAGGTAAAAGACAAAGTCCTTAATATTGAGAATAGAATTAAATCACTTTATCCTCTCCATTCACCCACAAAATAAAAATATTCCGCCCTCCTCTCCTCTCAATACCCAGGTAATTTCAAAGTCAAGCCTTGGAATTACCCTTGTTCTGATGCTGCACTACGCTAGGATTGTACTGTTTCCACCTAGAAGTTAAAACACAGTATGACGGTGACCAAAACTGCTGGAGACAGTAGACCTGCTTAACTTGTGGAGGTATCCCAAGAAATGCGCATCAGACGGAGACACAATCTAAACGGCAAAGTGTACTGCAGACTCAGCTGTGGTCTAGACCCGGGCCAAAAATACATTAGCCTGCCTGCCACTTCCTTCAAGAAAATAGCATCAATTAACATTTTAACCAAAAGATGAAGTTGAGCAAGATCATGTAGCCATGTCACATTCAATGTTACATCCAACAACAGAGAAATGAAGGAGTAGCAGACAGAAATATTAAATCATATTTTCCTTTTAATAATGATTTAGTCAAAAGTGTAGCTTTGAAAATCTCTAGCTAGTTGTGAAAACCTGAAGAAGAAGCTGGGAAGCAACCTCACTTTGAACAGTACAGTTTAAAGCTGTGGCTTGGCCTATCTGCTTTCAAACTCTCCGGCAGCACTGCCAACCTTGTAAATAGAAGGTACCGCACCTGGCAATAAAAATAAGTCAGCCTTTAAAAGTTGGTGAATGTTGTATGGTAGCAGCCTAACTCTGACTGAAGAAGAAAGATGAGATATTTTTGTACAGTAAACAGGAGACAAAAACCAAAATCTTCAGAGATCACTTTAAGTGTATACAATTTGGATTCTCATCAACATTTAAAACTACCAATCATAAGGTTGCCACCTTACCTTTTTCTGGACTGGCATACCTGATTTTAAACAGGTTTTCTTCCAGTCTCCCAAGTTTCTGATCCTCTTATCCAGTTTTCTGCTGTACTGCTCTCCCACCTTCATGCTGAATACCGAGTCAGTCCTGCCTTCTGCTTTTCTTGGCAGGAGGCAGAGCAAGCTTTTAATTTCGGTAGTCAGAGTGACAGAACAACAAAAGCACAGCAGATAGAAGAGCTTAATTCTTCCCCAGGAAGAAAATACATTTGGTTCAACAAAGGGCTGCAAAATCTTCCAAAGGCACCTCTTTCCCCAGTTTTTGCCTGAAAGCAAGATGGCAATCTTAATTGAAAAGGGATGCTAAATCTTTTAAATAACTTAAAAATTCCTTTTTATATAAAGCAGCAAAAAACATTTTTCTCTGCAGAAAGAGAAATGTTAACAAAGAAACACACCAACATAAATGCACTGTTCATAAACTTCAGCTAATTTAATTTCACAAGAAAGTAAAATTTTAGGGCTATTCTTTAACCTCATCAGTACTTTCTGAAGAAGATTCTTTGGCATCTTCAGTCTCTCTGTTGCTTTTCTCTTTATTTAGATTTTCACTTTCTGATTTGGTCCCATTAAATAGAGAGTTTTCACCGTTTACAAACCCATTCTCTGTGACTTCAGCATCAATAGCTTCATCAATCTTTAAGTCCCCTTGCTCTTCCACATCTTCTAGGTTTCTCAAGACAATAGGGAGTCTAGAGTCTGCAGTGTTCTCCAACAAGGCAATATTGCTCTCTTCATATTTAGGAAGTGGAGCTCCATCTGCCATTTGTTTGGTATAATACTCTCGGCTAGCAGCCGCACTCTTTACTGCTTTCTCCAAGATCTCTTTTTCACCTAAGCGCAATTTGATAGCCATTACCGCATGTGAAGTAAGGTCATGGGTCTCTAAGAAGGACTTATCATCCTGTTACAAAAAAAGAAAAAAAAAAAAAAGCAAGTTTGTTAGTAACAACCAATACAATAAAAAAATCCCTCAGCTTTTCTCTCTATGCATTAACAATAAGTGACACCAAGTTCTTCAGGCTGAGCCAAATGGACATATATGAATAAGGTGGTCTGCATGGAGTGCCAGTGAAATTTGTCAAGAATTCATAAAGAGGCCAAAAATTTCTCCACGTAGATCAGCCTGCATAACAAGCAAAGCGAGGAGAATTCACAAGTATGAGACATGTAGGTTCACTTAGACGCTTGCAATAGTGGCGCATTTCTTTGCAGTCCGGAGAATGCAACTAACAGACAAGTTGAAACAGATTCCCCATTTCACTTGCAGAGAAAAAGCAAGTAGCCTCTATTTGGAGTCTCAAAGAAAAAATACATTAAGAAAATTACATTAACAAAATTTTCTTTTTTGCAATCTTATTTGATTTTCCTTAGATAATGCAAATCTGTTTCTACACTTTAAAAAGTAGAGAATGAATTATGTACTAGCCTTCAGATTAAAGTTTGTAAAGTCAAGATATCTCCTACAATCATAACACAAAGCATTTCAGACATTTAAATTACATATAACGATAATTTTACCTCCACAGTTGTTTTATAGGTTTTCAAAAGAAGGGATGCTCTGGCTTCCAGGAATGTCCAAAGTTTCACTTCATTGTCCCAGCTAATGGGAAACTCAGAGTTCCCCAGAGTGAAGATTTTGTCAATGGCATGCTCGCCTATCAAGTGTTCTTTCAGCTCTTCTGCAATAAGCATAAAACCAATCTGTTAAAAACAATCTCATCATTCACTTTGTCAGTTGACAAACTGCAGAAAGATTTATTTTCAATAGTATAGCTTTGAGCAGCTAACAAAAATACCCTGTCCTCAAATAAGAATTATCAGATATGCTGGTTATTTCTAGGATTCTCCTCAGAGGCAACTGGAAGTCTTGAGGTTAGCAGAAAAGGGACCTTCTGCTCAACTCTGAAATAGAGATGCTTTATATATCATAGCCTCTGATACACAGTGTAACTCTGTCACAGTGAGATGGAATGTTTTGCATAATACTCGATGAGCGAAAGGGAGTAATTCTTTGAAGAGCTCAGTGAACTTTTTGATAATGAAAGGAACAGTCCAGAGTGTGCAAATAGCAATGGAATTATTTTTCCTATTGTTTTGATAATCTTTTTCAGTAGCAGAAACTCCCTACAGCTGGTCAGAAAAGACATCCATCAAACAAACCTCACACAGAGCAGAAAATGTTTAATCAGCTCCTTGACATTACACAAATTCCATTAATCTTTTAATTACCAAATTTCACTCCTGCAAAGCAGCTACCGCAAACTTCGCAAACCACTTGCACGTAGTTTCTCAATAAACAGTTTTCTTATACAGTGTTTAAGACATATGAATAATCTGAGCACAATCATATATCAGAGTAATGCAATTAAAATGTTTACTAGCTATATTTTCTTCTCTGAGCCAAAATTCGCTTTACTTGAATTTACTTCCCTGAAGTGTATTTTCTTCTCTGAGCCAAAATTCGGCCTCCTAAAATTTGCTTTACTTGAATTTACTTCCCTGAAGTGGTCAGGCAGCTGGACTAGATGATCACTGTAGGCCCCTTTCAACTGAACTATGCTATTCTATTTTCTTAGTAAATTCTAAAAGATGGATGACAGGATGCAGTGAAGGCATGACTCTAAATTATGTAGGCTGTTTTTATTAAAGAAAGCAAACAGAGCACATGCAAAAACTTTGCAACTTCAGTGTTCCACTGGTATTAAAATCTGCGTCATCTGCACAGCATCCCTAGCTGCAAGGGCATTCTCTCACTGTCATGAAAAACTGTCAGATCTATAACCTCCGACACAGCATCTAACCAGCAAGCAGCTGTTACAAACATTTAATCAGAAGTTTCACATGCACAAATTAGGTGAATACTTATTAATTGTACATCTATTTTCCCCATAAAAACCCCTAACATAAGAGAAACACTACAAAGACAGTTTGCAAATACGTAAGTTGGTTTTGGATTATGAAATACCAAAATGCTGAAAACACTCAACTTTAAAATATCTCTTCCATATTTCTCCTGCAGTACTGAATATTCCATACCGAAATGATTCTAGCAGTGATGGCTAATATGCTATGATTTTAAGGATGTAAACCCCTAGGTCTCACATGATCTTGTTCTGTGAACCATTTTTAAACCTAAGAACTAAAGATCAAGCTCCAAAGCTCACTCATTCACAACAGCCTGGGAGACTAAAAAAAAAAAAATTTAAAAAATTAAAAAAAAAAAAATCAAGAAATTCCATCACCTCATGCTTTGGGAGTTCCAGAAAGGTCTATGCTACCAAAATATTCCCTCAGACAACATGGCCAAAGACTTGGTTTCTCACTAGCTTACAGATCCCTTTTTAACCTCAACTCCTCAACTATTCTGATCTTCTAGCTTAGTATTTTATATGTCTATCACATTCTTGCATTAAAAAACAAACAAACCCCAACACAAACGTAAATTAGGTTATCTTTATAAAACATCTTACCTTCACTCATACAAAATACTCGAAGGAAAGCCAAAAGCTGGGCAGAGATTGGAGGCTCAGTGGAGTGCAAGGCAAAAACACTAGAACTAATAACAGAAACAATCAAACAGCAACAGTAAATGCAAGTTCTACTGTCATACCTTTGAACTTATTTCAACATAAAAGACTTTAAAGTATAAAACAAATGCAGTGTTACAAAAGTAGTTTTTACAAAATTAGGTAATACTAGTTCAAACTGAAGGAAAGCTTCCCTAACCTGTATCTGAAAAGAACAATTATCTCCACAATTTTACACTTACAATTATTTTTATACGGCTTTCATAATAAATTCATGAAAATGCAATGTTTCACGTCTGCTGCTCCTAACAGTACCCTCTGGACTGAAAAGACTAAAGGAAAATGCTGTGGTTCACATACTGAGCATCGTAGTATGTCTGCAAGGGATAGGAAAGAAAGAAAAACCACAGATTGCTTTAAATTAATCCTTGCTCGGTTTTTGTTCAAATGGTTATTAAACCAAAGGCTTTTTTTCCCTTATATATGGTCCAAATTAGATGATAATACAGCTCAGAGAACTTCTGCAAATATTATTACAATAACTTTAATTTGCTATACAAACAGAAGAAATATTACACCTAAGAAAATGATCATGGAACAGTTTTATATGTGCTCTACTGGACACTATATACTTTGGAAATGTTTTAAAAAACCCATGGCATTGTGTTTTACTTACGTTGGGATACCAGCACGAGCTAAGACCTCTGCCTTCATGGCATACAGCCTGTCACTTTTACTCACGCCAAGCTTTATTTTCACTCTGTCATGTGAATTATTATCAAAGAAAAAACCACTGTGGATCACAAATTCAGCGTTTGACCGAGTGCCATAAAAAATGTAAATCTAGAAGGATGAAAAGAGAAGTGAAGGGACAGGAAAAAAGCTTAAGATCAGCTCACAAAACTGACATAATTTGAAAGTTATTTCCTGAAAGAGTTACTATTCTGAGTACAAGGTATATTTGGTTATATAAAGAAACACACTTTGTTTTCTGGTATAGATTCAAATGCTGTATGTACTGTGGCAATATACTTTAGAGGTAGATGTAAACATATACATGTAACAGACTTTGAAAGAAGAGGTTCTTATTCTATACTTTAAAAGAAAAATGCTTTGTTTTCTCAGACTGTCATAAAATATCAGTATATGGAAATAAGTTTTCAAAGAGCCTATGCCTTTGCCTATGCAGGCTAAAAAAACCTGAGACAAGGAGGGCCCATTACAAGAAACGGTGTTTCTGGGATCATTTCCCCCCCTCATACGTCCATCCAAAAGAGTAACCTACATTGTTGATGGATCAACTTTGCTTTTGTTTTAATGTTACCTTTAGGCATAGATACACCGAAGTATATCATACAGAGACCTGACCTGTGTTCAGCCAGTAGTTATTTTTGTGTTATACTCTGAACTCTGTATGTAAAGCAAATAGTTTACTTTAATTCACCTTAAAAAAGAAGTTTCTAAATATAACCTGCAAAGTGTTGAATTCAGGGCTAGGCTGTATGAAGTACATGGGACAAGAGGTCAAAGTAGCAATTGTCTTCTCCCACACCAAGAGGATATTTTTCCCTTTTGTTTGATAACAGAATTGTCAATCAGAAAAAAAAAAAAAAGTTCCAACAGTTACAGAACTCCCTTCTTAACCTTAGGGTACAGCAATGCGCTGGATACCTGTAAGCTGCCACTCCTCTCCAGCTAACAGAGAAAGGCAGTGTTCTCTTAAGGACTCAACAACACTTAATGATGTCATTTACTTTCTTTGTTTTCAATTTTAGATTAGAACTATTTATCCTAAGCACGAAATGATTAAGCGTTATATATTAAATTATAGTAAACATCACACTGTAACACACTCATATAATGAACAGGTGACCTGCCTAGGGATGTTAAGGCAGTGGTTAAGGAAAGAGTTTGCTAACCCTCTCAAGTTTTAAAACTACTGTGATACATCTCATCTTAAACTAAAAGTCACATATTATGTGCAGATTACACAGTGTGCTCTTACACGCTAAGACTGTTTTACAAAAAAAGCCAATTAAACTGAATGAGAAAGTTGCTTTATTCAATGCCAGCGTTTGATAGATTCTGTGGACTTCTGCTGCCTCACATTTTTTAGTAGTAAAAGCAAAA